GTAAAAGAAAACTATTTTATAGAGTATTTGAAAGTTAAAACTATAATATTATCGCACTTTGATGAAGTTAAGTTTAGTGGTCAATTACTGGAAAAATTATAGCTTATTAACGGCTTTGACGTGAGCTTTATTATTAATATTCCAAAGTAATAATAACAATTAGTAATCAGTCTCTCGTGATCATTTGCGGTAAAGCCACGGTAATATATATGTAATATTACCGTGGTAAGGCATTCGAAACATCTTAAACAAAATATTAAAAAAAACCCGAGAAAATAATTTTAAACGTTTGAACGATTATAATTTGCAACAAACAACCATGCTAACAAATAAGTACTGCAAATAATTCCAGCTGCGTGTAACTTGACATTGACGAAAAAACTCAACTGATTTTCTATCTTCAAAAAGCAATATAAAACTTTTGCGTAATTTAATTTATACTTTAAAGTGTGTATATCTTGTAATAAGTCGACATTTCTGTTATCCATACTAACATTATAAATGTAAAAGTGTGTTTGTTTGTTTGTTTGTTTGTTTGTTTGTTTGTTTGTCTGTTCTTCTTTCACGTCGACATTGAGTGACGGATTGGTGTGATTTTTTGTGCGAAGATAGTTGGAGTGTTAGAGAGTATAGGCTACTATTTACCGCGGGAGATTATCTAATTCCTACAGGAAATCACGTTATAATACAATCCAAAAAAATATTTATGATCAGAATTACTTGAAACTTGGTATTAATCCCTCCACGACCGCGGACACGCGGACGTTACAGTTAACAATAGATTTCTAAGAAATTTAATTAATTTCTTAGAAATTTACCTGGAGGTGTTAATGACTAATGTTCTTTAATAAAATTAAATAAATACGTGTTTTAGCATTTTTCGAAATTCATCCCATAAGGGGGTAAAATAGGGAATGAAAGTTTGTATTAAACTATCTTTTTAGAGATTTTTTTTGTAGTTTTAGTGCGAGCGAAGCCGCGGGTTCTGCTAGTTTTAGATAATAATTAAAAAAATACGTTATCTGAACCAGTGATTCATCTTTGTATAGATAGATCATATGACATACTATAACTCTCCATTTTTTGTTTAGGTATTCTACGGTTACTCCAAGTCATCCTATAAGGTATCCTTAACCCGGCGTCATTGTGGTACGAAATTGTTACACGGATGTTGAGGTGGGTCAATATAACCCGTATTTATAATGTACGACATTTTCATGTTTTATAGGATATATTCGTAATCTTTGTCATTATAATGTATATTTACCCTCTAATTATAGGAATAAAAGAAAAAAGATTCAATGACAGAATATTTATTGACATTTTTTTTAAATTAAACTTAAATTCTCAAAAACTTAACAAAAATGAAATCCCTTCGAGTTTCACAGCCGTATTACTCTAAAATATAATCTTTTCAGTCATATATGTAACTTAAATTATACCTTACTAATAAATCTTTGAAAAAAAGTTTAACAAAACTAATTGGTATCCTCATTATGTAAACAAGTACTGCAGAAAGGTATGATATGCTCAGGGCAAATATATTTGTCACAACCTCGACATGTTTGTTTCGTTTTGCGATCCTTTTTTGCTGGGCATATTTGGCATCTTTTGCGGGCATTTAGTATTTTAGCAGGAGGCTCTTCAGATAAATCACCAGTAAACTCCCGGATTCTCTTACGCATTTCTCGCCTTCTTCTGAATCAGATTCCTCAAGAATTGACAAAATTCGTTGGCTCTCTCTATCCATGTTCCTCAAGAATTGACAAAATTCGTTCTATCCATGTTTCTAACTACTTTGAAGCAAGGAAAAACTAATAATATCAAAAACATAAGAAAATACTTAAATAAACACCGAAAAACAAAATTAAGTAATAAAAAATCATACAAAAACAAGGTGCAAAATTGTAACGTTAACTGTGAGCATGGGTCAAATTTACCCTTTTGTCAAATGCACGCGTGTAGCTCCCAGCGTGATCACCGCTCGACTGATTTCTTTTCAAAAACTTTTAGAACACAGCGTTGGGTCCAGCTACTGAGAAGAATGGCAACTTCACGCGCGCACGTAAAAAAATATACGCATTCTTAAACACACTGGGTCTTCCTGACCCAACCTCAATGACGCCGGGTTAAGATTAATATATAAATGAGATATATAGTACATATATCATTAAAAAAGAATTAAGTAAAGTTAAAAAATATATGTTATCTACTAATTACTAAATCATAATCAGAGCTATCTACATTTATGAATTACGCTCAGGAAACTCATTAAATCTATACTAATATTATAAAGAGGCAAAGTTTGTGAGTTTGTGACGTTGTAGTGGTAATAATCTCTGGATCTACTGAACCGATTTTGATGAAATTTGGTAGGAAGATATTTTGAGACCCTGGGAAGGCTATAGGATACTTTTTATCCCGGAAATCATCCCTCAAGGGCGTGAAAATGGGGATGAATATTTGTATCGAGTCGCTAGTAATAAATGAATAAGTAAGTACATGTAAGAAAAACCAATTTGATCATTTTATCTGATGCTCTAGACACGGTTTAATGTAACATTACCGTGCCCTAGGAGAAACTTCTAGGAAATTGAACCGTTTTGGCGGAAATTTAAAATGTATGTCAATGTGGCCATTTCTCTTACAAGAATGACGTGGACTCGTGATGGGGTCAAACTTCTTAGGTTCACATACCTACATAGGTTATGTAGGCTTTGTTTTACGTCACAATTGCATGGATATGCTAAATATAGATTTACAGACGACATATAACCTCGTGGCTGACCTACTTTGTGCCCAGCAAAAATCCCTTGAGAATTAAAAAAAGAAAAACTTCATAGATTAACTGTGCAATTTATAAATTTCCTATATCGAAAAAGGCCTCGTGACAAAGTACAATATGTCAATTATAATTTAGCTTCGGTCCTTGAGACTTAAGACCTTGAAACTAAATAAATAAAACGCTGATAAAAGTCTGTTATTTTTTCCCCCATATTTCATTGTTCCAGAAAATGTGAATTGTGATGCGTTATGATGGTAAGGGAACAATTAAAAAAGAAAAATTGTGACGGCACGCTGAGTTTTATAGGTTTAATTTCCATAATATTACAATTTCTCGTATATATTATATATAAAATAAAATTTAATTTAAAAGAGAAAAGCAACACATAGTAATAACAAATAAAATTAACTGATACATTAAATTATATTATTATTATAGGCCCTTGAATCACAGCAAAGCCTAAATAAAAATAACCAAACTGAAATGGGTAAAGTAAATTTAAACCTGACAAAATGTAGGTCAAAGTCAAAGGCTTATATTTTCTCTATTAGGCGGCAGTTTAAAATAGGGTAACCGGTATAGAGTAATCCTTGAACTACGACATTTATGTGATAATAGAAGATAGAATCACGAATATAATGGAAACACAGATAATCTAGGGAAATCAAATAGATATGTTAAAAAATGTAGGCGCTAAGTCCAAATGTAATCTCCAACGAAAAAGTAAGGTTACTTTTTTATTACCATCGATCAATATACTAGATACACAATCAGCGACAAAAAAGTCCTCACCGAGTGAGCGCTCATTTGAACATTTGAGCGCGCTTTTGGTTAATGTGTTTTTTTTTTGGGAAAAACAACTTTCAGGTTTAGGGTTCGAATTATATTGTTACATATTTATTTCTGCTAGAATAATTATTAATTACCTAAAAACAATTGGTGACAGTTTTAAGAAAACTTTTGCATGGGATTGTGTATCTAATACCTTTTTGATCAATATTTATTACCTAAAAAAACCTTTTTAATAAAAAGTATTACTATTCCACAAGCAATGATGGTAATATCACGAACAAAGGAAAAAACCCGCTGGCAAAAATACTATTAAAATCCCGTACATTTTATGGGACATATTATGCATTCTTACAAATGAACTTATCAACGATATATCAACTTTGCTAAAGCCTCTAAAGATTATTATCGGTCCAAATGGTTTTACCCGAGTAAGGTACGAGATCATACTTTAATTGCGTTTAATGTTAAAAATTATATTGGAAGATGAAAATAATTCTTTTATTGTCGGTTTTATACGTAGTGTTATCTAAACTACGTTCCGCATTAAATCTCGCCTTATCATCAATATCGTACTAAAATCTTGTTATTGTTGAGATCAAACGTTTCAGCTTCACATGTATATTTATTATTACATGTGAATATCCCAAGATGACATCAACAATCTTTTCAACATTTGCAAATTCAATGTTAATTTAATTATACCTTACTGGTATCACTTATAGCTTTTATATTAAATTATTTACTTTGTAAAATAAACAGGCAAGCGCTTATTTTGTAATGACTGACAACATTACATTGTTACATCTTCTAAAAAAAACACGAAATAAACTAAATAAATATATTATGTGGTATGAATGTAAACACTAGTGATGTTAATTTACCAATAATACTCGTAGTTTATTAAAAAAAAGTATCTTATTACAAGCAGAAGTTTTAATTTTATCAGACTTCAGCGGTGTTGATAAGAAATTGATGAAATTGACGACGCGTTTGGTTTAGTTTGTAGTGACCCTATTTGCTGTGCCAGCGGTCGCGGGTTCGAGTCCCGCTGGGGGCATTATTTGTGTGATGCACGAATGTTTGTACTCTAGTCATGGGTGTCTATATCTATAATATGTATGTAATTAAAGTTATATATATGTGTTGTATATCAACTATTTGGTATCCATAACACAAGCCTCGTAGCTTACCGTGGGACTAGATGGTGCTCTGTGTTAATACCCCATCATATTTATTATTATTATTTAATGATATGAATCAAAGCTTATGGTAGATTTTAATAATCACATTTTTTCCATCTCGTGACAGTAAGTCCCAAACCAATACTAACGTAGCGTCATACGCATAATCTGTACTAAATCAAAACAAGTTATGTTATAAGGTCTAAATTACAGGTATTTTATGCAACAAGACCCCAGCTTACCTTCGCGCTGTCTTCAATAGGCTTCGCTGGACCATCGTAGTAGCAGTTCATTTTTTTGTAGTCCGTAGCCTTCGCACACACGCCATACCACACGCAATGGCCTTCGGCTGACGCGGTTGGAATCTGAAATAGACGGTAAATATCAGGTCATGACTGAAGGGTAATGTACCGGGAAGTTAACTATAATCAAAGTATAAAAATTCATACAGTATCTGTCAAATGCATGGGTTATCAAAAATACCAATTTATATTACAAACTCGTCCAATGTCCCTCGTGTCTTCTCCATTCTACGTGACAGTGGCGAAGTAATCTGTGCTCAACTGGCACGCTTTGAAGCCATTAACAAGAGAATTGAATTGAATTGCAAACTCCTGACCAGTTACAGTTATACTCGTCAACCTTAACACCATTTCCCAACTGTCATATAAAAGTAAGTATAACAGTCGGGTTCGTCTCAGCTGCGTCTCTCCCCGTATGCCCTCCTCACTATGCCCTGTCTAGAGATTTCGTTAGACGACTGTATGAATTAGTAGACTGTGCTAAAGGCAAAGTATCATTAATTATTATTATTATTGACACGTGAAAAAATATATTAGCACCAGAAATAAAGCACTAAAAGTCACTTAAAAAAGAAACGCATGTATGCGTTCGCTATCGATCCCAAGGGTATAATTTGGAATTCGTATCCCGCATCGTAAAATACCGAACCAAGTTAGCAACAGTTTTTTTTGCCGTATTCAGTCTCGTCTGATGCTGTTGCTATCCAGAATTTATTTTGCTGGCGTTCTAAATATTTATATTGACGAATATTTAATGTGCATTCAACGTCAAGAATACATTTATTTTATCTTGAAAAAAGAAACAAAAATATTAAGTTTTTCAATGGAATACTCTAGAGTTTTTACATAATATAAAAACTTAAATTATAATGTAGCTGTGGCTAAATAACATAATACTGGTGTGAATTTGAGCACATATTCGTATATTAATTTTACGTATATTATGTTTAACTTTATAAGTAACAATAATCCATACTACTATTTTCAATTGGCGTGATTTGTTGTGTGGAGATAGTTGGAGGGCTGGCGAGTGATGAAGGCTACTTTTTACCGCGGGAGATTATCTCATTCCCACGGGAAAACACGTTATTACAGAATTACAGAATTACTTGAAATTTGGTATTAAAAATGCTCTTCAATACAATTAAATAATACGTGTTTTAGCATTTTTCGAAATTCATCCCATAAGGGGGTAAAATAGGTGATGAAAGTTTTTATTAAACCTACTTTTTTAGTTTTTTTGTAGTTTTTGCGCCAGCGAAGTCGAGGATTCTGCTAATAAAAAATAAATGTATACATTCCTATTTATTTAGTTATAAATTCTAAAGTAACACGCGGCCCGACTTGTATATTTAAAAGGTCAATCATCGATTACTCAAAACATCGCATGTTCAGATGTACTTGGAATCGATTCTAATCATTTCTATGAAAATTTCCACGGCTTGGACGACGAACTAACTTTAAGAATATTCAATAGAATATACAAACAGTTAATAAAAAAAAATATACAGAAAGTGACGTGGACAGAGGTGGATATTAAAAAGTCGAAAGATGTAACAAAGAAATCTATACATATAATAAAATTGTAACTAAGTCGAATCTGTACATTAAGTAAATATTTTTTGGAAAATCTAATTGAAATAGACATTATTATATCGATAATGTATATCGACAGAGGCCGAATCTATAGTTTTTAGAATTATTGTCTGTCTGTCTGTTACCGCATCACGAGAAAACCACTGGAGGGATTTTGATGAAATTTGATATGATGATAGCTGGTTATCCGAGTCAACATATAGGATACTTTTTACCCCGGGAAAATATCTCATTTCTGAGAAAAAATACAAAAACTGCAATGTAAGAGTATACTAATATGTAAAACCTAAGAATTTGGTTTTTGGTAATCTGAACTCTGGCGGAGCCGCGGGCAATGCTAGTGAAATATAAAGAACGTTGTTATAAAAGATAAATACACTTAAATACAAAGAGTCGATAACTTAACAGATCATTGAACGTAGTGTTCAGCAGATAACAATATCATAAACATATTTACGTAAGAACGAACGTCGTAAATACTTCAATAATGGAAAAAACACAAAAGCTATTTGTGTGTATTTAGGAACTTAAATTGTTAGCTATTCGCACACAAAATCTAATACCGGATCCACACGTTTGAAATTGGCCGATCTGTAGACCCGGCATAATTCGACGAATTGGTCCTTCACGACCACCCTGAGTAGTTACGGGCGGGTGTGCCTTCTCGGCAGACAACCGCCGTTGAACTCCAACCAATACACATCAAGTTCGACATATTTAAATATATATATACGAGTATAACATGGTTCACCGTAACATTGACTAAGTAATATAACTTATGACTTTCTAGTACATATATGGAATAAGTAAACGCAGCGTTTCATTTGTATTTCATTCAGTGTCTAGCAATAAATGCATGAGATATATGATACATAGATATAATTAAGTATGATTTCTGGTGTCAAAGTCAAAATCCAGAACTACTGATCCGCTTAGATGAAAACTATATCCATAGAAGACAGTACATGATGAAAGTACAAAAAGCTACAGAACTCTCGAATCAAAGATTGCCCAAATCGATGGAGAGTCGCTAGTATTGAATATTTTATTAACCGATATGTGGGGCATCTGAATATAGATATATGCGGGTCCGTTACATTGACGTGGGTAATATCAATAAGATCAAAATGAAGGTCAGTCCTGATTCAGAATTTTTTTGGGAAGTGGAACTAGCGCGCGTGGTCTACATAATTAATTTTTGAATTGGTATTTTTCCGGCATATTGTTTTTAGTCATATTTCCTTGCATGGTGAAAGAATTAGCATAAATTTAAAATAGTCATTATAATTTTTATTTTTTATGAAAAAATTAAGAAGTTCAGATATGAAAAAGTACTAGTTTCCTATGTACAACCTAAGCCCACTCATTTTTAGTACAAAACCGGCACAGACGTCAGTATAATATTTAAATTGCAATTTTAATAATTCATATTGTTTTGTAAATCAGTTTTTCAGTCAAACTTATACTTTACGGTTTCGATTATTCTTGACACTGTAAAGAAACACTAACAGTAAACAAAAGATAAATTGTTAGTGTTTGTTATACTCGTATTGATACAGTATATTCACATATCTTATATTGATATAGTATATTCCATAATTACAGATATCTATAGTACTAGGTTGATTCCAACCAACTTTTAACAAACAAATTTCTTCCCCATTTTCACCCCCTTAAGGGATGATTTCCGGGATAAAAGCCCTTCCTAGAGTCTCAAACTATCATTTTACCAAATTTCATCTAAGTCGGTTCAGTAGATCCAGAGATTACCCCCTACAACGTCACAAACTCTCAAACTTTACTTCTTTATAAAGGTATAAGTTTTAAAATCAAGAGGTTCTTTACCTTTGACATTCATATACGAATAAAAGCGTTCGTAGTATATTATGCAGGATTTAGCCCACATGAACTTCTCAGTCCATAGACTTCGTCAATGTAATATTCTGACACCAGATTTTGAACTACATATTAGTTAAATGTTTATTGTATTTACATTAAGATTATTCATAAACAAAATCTTCTTGCCATACTTTAAAATTCCCCAACATAATATACGTTGTCATTTTGCCAAAATTCGTATCAGTGCTACACACAAGACAAGGTCCCATCTTCTGCATAAAAAGATAACTTTTCTTGTTAAGAAATATTGCCCTACTTAATATAAAAGAAAAAATCGAAGAACAGAAAATTAGAATTCCTTTAACGCATCGACTACCTGTATTTCAAAAAAGCTGGTTTTTCCAACATATTACATGAACATTTTATAACCGCTGAATTACAAAAACCACTTTTTGCTAAAGTAATATTTAACAGCGGAATCCTTAGGAGCAAATATTTCAATTTCGACTCGTAAGGTGAATCAAAATGCCGCAGGGTTTAAGTGAAGCCTAACAACCTAGTATTGATCGCGCAGTCTGTCGGTAAACACACCTGGCTTTGAACGCCAGTAGCCTTGACTGCATTACTTATAAATTATAAATATTATTGACCACATGTTATATTATATTGATAACAACATATGAAATGTGTTCAAAACATGTATTTACTAATAAATATCAATATTGGGAAAATTTATATCGAGTATAATATAATAGTTTTTTAGAATAATACTCCTATCGAATAATATCCGTAAATAGTAAATATATGAGATATGAATGCATGCATCATTATTATAAGTAACTAAATCGAAATCCGAAATCGTTTATGCCCTATACATACCTATAAGGAGTAACAAAAAAAATTGTACGAGGCTTAATAAAATAGTATTACTGTAAATCACTACTAATATAAATGTGAAATTATTTATGTATATATGTGTGCCGTGTGTGTACTGTATACTTATTACTCTTTCACACAGAAACGACTAGTAGGGATGCACCCGAGCGAATCGATGATAAATGTCTTATATCGGGGGGCACGGCAGTGCCCCCGCCAAGTCGAGCAAAAAAGGGCACGGCAGTACCATCCTTTTCTCGAAGGGATTCAGAGCATTTTCCACCCCCCATAACTTCGTTGTGGATAAAGCTAGAAGCTTGAATTTTGAGTGACTAAGAGAACATAATAAAACTACGTACATTTCCAAATTACATTCAATTTGAACCAGTAGTTTATGAACTGTTGCAGATCAAAATTCGTTAATATCGTCACTCACTCACTCACCGATCATCAAAATTCTAAGGTACTTCTAGCAGACATAGGAGCTTCAAATTTTGAACACAATTAGTGTTTACTCTATAACCCAAGGAAAAATTCAAACATCACGCAATTTCAATCCTGTTTTCGAGATATACAACAAACTGCATCAGTAACTTTGTAATCCTATACAAATAGATATGCGATATATGGGATTACAAAGTTACTTGTGCAGTTCATACATATAATTGTCGTCACTTGCAATGTAAAAGGAGGTTAGGTTAGTGTTTAACCTGTATGTATGTTTGTATGTTCGATCCTATGTTCCCTCGTAA